AGGCCATTGACTTTGGTGGCAACAGTCTGCAAAGTTATAAAATTTTCTCCAACATTCAGCTGCTTGGATATAAAGGCAGACAATGGATTGAAATTTTGATGGGAGTTTTTTCAGATAGATGCAGTGAAAGAGCTTGTTTGGAAAAGGAAGTGGATGTTGCCGAGAGAACAGTTCAGATGACCAACTAGAGGCTTCACATTGGGTACAGAAAGGAAGAGAGACTGACAGACTGCAAGGAAGCTGAAGAGCCAGGGAACGGGAGGTCTGTCAATGAGCAAGTGTGTTAGAAGTGGGCATATGAGAGGGCTGGAGAACAGGGGGCTTATTCATTCTTTCGTCAGGTATTTACTGAGTGCTTTCTATTTTTTTTTAAGATTTTATTTATTTATTTGAGAGAGAGAGAGCATGCGTGGCAGAGGCGGCAGAGGGAGAGGGAGAAGCAGACTCTCTGCTGAGCACAGAGTCCAATGTGGGGCTTGATCCCAGGATCCTGAGATCATCACCTGAGCTAAAGTCAGACACTTAACCAACTGAGCCACCCAGGCGCCCCTTTACAGAGTGCTTTCAAAATGCTTTGTAGTGTTCTAGTGATGGGAGTACATCATGAACAATTCTAATTGGGAGGAGAAGACAATAAACAATAATAAATATGTAAATTATGTAATAGTTTAGAAAGTAATAAGTACTGTGGTGGGGTGGAGATAGAATCGAACAGGATAAAAAGGATTTGGAATTCTGAGAAAGAGTGTGATTTTAAATGGGGTGGTAGCCCTGATTGAGAGGGTAACTTTTGAACAAGGACATAAAAGGATAGAGGGAATGAGCCATGCAAATATATGAATTAGAATATTCTAGACAGGGAGAACAGCCACTTCAAAGCCTTGAAGTGTGTGAGTGCCTGGTGTTTTCAAGGAATAGCAAGGAGGCCTGTGTGGAGTGGAGTGGGCAAGAGGAAGAAGTAGGAAATGGGATAGATAATGGGGACCAAATATATAAGCCTTGTACACTCTGGTAAAGACTGAGTTTTCCTCTGAGTGAATTAGAAAGGCACTGCACTGCAGCCTTCTGAACAGAGCAGTGACATGATCTGATTTACCTTTAATGGATTGCTATGACTGCTATGTTGAAAATAGACTTAGGAAGGGCCCAGAGTAGAAGCAGGGAGACCAGTTAGGAGGCTATTGTAATAATCCAAATGAGAAATGCAAAGTCAGACTTTGATCAGGGTGGTGGCAACAGAGGTGGTAAGTAGTTGGATTCTGGATGTATTTCAAGGATAGAACCAGTGGGACTTCATGACAGATTGGATGTGGGTGGTGAGCAAGAGTCAAGGATGACTTCAAGATTTTTGGTCCAGCCAAACAGAAAGATGGAATTGCTATTATCTGAACTAGGGAAGAATGTGAGGAGAACAGGTCCAGGGAGAAGACTAAGAGTTCAATTTTGGATCAAAGAGGGGAATATTGGTTTTCAAAATTTCGGAAGTGGAATCATTCTGAATGATTGTAACATCCAAGGTACAACCCTGGGGATGGGTATCTAAAAGCAGAATAAAGTGAAGTCATTATGATAAAAGAATTTAGAACTCTGGAGGTTGGAAGGTTAATGAAATCTCCTAGGATGGTCTCCTAGAATGGTGGCCCACACAGGAGAGGGAGGAACAGGGCCAAGCTACTCTCACCATTATGATACAGAATTAGAACACATATGATTAGAAGTCACATAAATATTGCTTTGAGGTATACAGAATTTGAATTGGGTTTAGATTTTGAACCTAAAACATTAGAAATAAGCAAAGTAGCAAAATGATCACTATTTGTTGAAACACACGAGACAACATTATAATAAAGCGGTTTGGAACATATCCAGCTGAGGTAGATTTATAATCCCACTGTAGCATGGATCAAAAACAGTGGATTGAAAAAGAAATTCAGGTAACTCACAATTTAATCTTAAGTGTTTTATTAAAAATCTTTTTAGAAAGACACATACTTGGTTTTAGATATGTTTAAATCTTAGTGACACCCATATAGCTTTTTAGAAACCATGGCCCTGTGACATTTTAGGAAATTTTTCTAATAGCCACAAGAAGTACCCTCAACCCTATTTGCAAGCCATGTTTCCGAATTCAGTTCATAACCAGAATTAAGAAGAAAAAATAGGATGACCAGTCAGTCCTCCAGAGCAAGTATAATAAACCTCTAATTCAGAAACCGATGTTTGATGAAGACTTTTAAAACATCATACCTGTGAGCTGATGGATGTCATATAAGTATCAGAATTCATTAAAGACTTTTGAAATGATAATCCAGGTTTATACAGTCTCTACAGATATAGATGGATATTTATCTATTTATATTGAGACTTGAGAATAGAAAAATCAAGAAAGCTCTTGTCTTACGTTGCCAATTAATAAATGAAGAAAGAAAGATGAGATAGCTGTACAATCCTTAAAAAAAAAACACCTTGTTTCTGAGTGGTAGTAACCCAGTCCAAGCTTTTATCTCTTTATAAACGCAACATAGGTAATCTCAATGGGACTAAATATTTATAATTAAGTATATAATATTGAAATCTTCTTGCTTTGTGGAAATTATATGTTTGTGGTTAATTGAAATATTTAGCATGTGTAGGTTTCATCTTTTAGTTCAACAGAAAAATATAAGTGACATTGGTAGTTGAATTCCTGTTAAAGTAGCAAAGACATTCCCCAGACATACATAATTCAGCTGCTGAATAGGAGATGATTCACCTTTCAGTGACTTCACAGGTGTTAACTTCACCAAACAAAAGATGTAAATCATCTTCTATTCATTTTTTTTTCTGATGGAAGTTTTAAGTAAAATTTTTTATGAAAAATATAAATATATATATAAGTCCACAACATGTCCATTTAGAAAATGAATTTGCATCAACTTCTGAGATGTGAAGGCTATGTAATGTATATTTTGTCAAAAATAACTAAACTGAAAAAAATAATACATTATGTGTTAATAAAAAATAATTAAAAATAAAAATAAAGAAAATAAATAAACTCAGTTCCTCCTAAGTCAGGAGGGTGAGAAATTCTAAATCAAGTTTGCATGCAGTACTGAATAACACAAAGAAGATCTGATTATAGAGTGGTGTTCAAATAAAATGGCCCCAGAGAAGAATTAAGAAAGAAACCTACCCATCAGTGATCTGGACAACACAGATGTGTGGCTGTGAAACATGGGCAGCTGAGTTTCAGCTAAGTTCAGAAACCGATATTTCATGAAGACTTTTAAAACATCATACCTGTGAGCTGATGGGTGTCATATAAGCATCAGAATTCATTAATGACTTTTGAAATGATAATCCAGGTTTATACAGGTTCTACAGATATAGATTGATTGGGTATAGGTGATAAACAGGAGAGGTGGGGTGCCTGGGTGGTGCAGTTGGTTGAACACTGACTCTTGGTTTTGTCTCTGGTCATGATCTCATGAGTCATGAGATCAAGCCCCAGGTCAGGCTCCCCACTCATCAGGGAGTCTGCTTGAGGATTTTCTTCCTATGCCCCTCCCCCCCCACTCGCTCGTACAAGCACGTTCTCTCTCTAAAATAAATCTTTTAAAAAGAAAAGAAAAGAAACAGGAAAGGAAAAGGTGATTCGTAGGTTTCTAAAGTCTGAAGATGGTGAGATTAATAATATCACTAGCTAATGTTGGCTACATGCTTACTCTGCACCAGGCATTGTGCCACACAATTTGCTATATTACCTCCCTGAGTCCTTACAACTCTGGCAGGGGGAGAGGGATGTATTATTGTTAACCCCTTTTTATAAGGGGAATCCATGAAACTTGTTTTCATTTTTAGAGGAAGAAAAAAAAAATGAAGGTTTTTGCTCCAAGACAAGGTAAAGCTCAGCTGGACTTACTAGCCTACATTATCTGTACTTGGGGTCTGAGTCCCAGGGCAGTGGCTTGGTATTTTCATGTGTGTGGATGTAATTATGCTGCCAGCCACAAAGTAATCAAGGTGAGCCATTGTTGGTTATGATGTTTGCAAGTCTAGCACTGCCAAACTGTTTAATGCCTCTGAGTACTTTGCCTGTCATTAAACTAGGCTGCACTAAGTAGCTGGTTTTGCCTTGGCTCTTGACTTTAAAGCGGTCAGCCGGGTAATCCAGGTACATAGATAAGAGTGCTTTCCTCCTCAGTTATTATTTTAAAATGAAAGTATAAATAAGTGTAATTATCAAGTGACTATTAATGTAAATATTGAATTTATGTAGAATACACTAATTAGACTAAAACTCTTAAATACAATGACATTCTTTCTTAATTGTTATCAGTCACTGTCCAGAATAAGCCTGGTTTTCCCCTTAAATTAACCAATCCACACGTTTTTACCTTGTCCTGAGCCTCCATTGGTGCCCAGGGTCTGTCTGACACCCAGATTGTCCACACCTCCCTCTAATCTTTGAATTGTTCCGTAAACTCTTTTAAAACTGTTTGGCAGAAACCCTTCCCAAATTTCCCACTTTCAATCCCTGCTTCCTTTTTCTCTTTTGGTCAAGCAGAGAAAGGAAAAACAATTTTACATATCAAACAGAGTAAATTATGAAAAAAATCACAAAGCTTTTCCAAATAGTAGTTTACCTTACAGCTCATTTCTAAAGCCACCAAGCTGTATCTCTTTAGGTAACTACTTGCTAGTTATTTATTCACTAGGTTGCATATAGCAGTCTCTTAGCAACCATAAATTTCATGGAAAAGTCCTAACTCTTCTCTGATACCACCTGTTTTTTAGAAGTTGGCCTTTTTTTAAAGACTTGGAGAAATGCCAGAATTTAGTTCTTTTTGAAAATAAATTTAAATAAATCCTAACAGTTTTTTACAGGGCTGTAAAGTGGTTTCTTCGCAGTGGCCCTTCCCTACGAGGTTACATTGGAGATTATACTGGTAAGGAAGCTCTGTTCACTCTCACGGCAAAGGGTCATGACTCTAAGTGTCTTTCTTCCTGATTCACTTTAGGATTGTGAAGATGTCCAGTCCCAATCTGAACATTGTGACCTTACTTGGCAGTTGTCTGACTTACAGTAGTGTTTACCTCTTTGGGATTCAAGATCGAGATGCTTTAGTGGGAGGCTCAATGGAAACTCTCATTCAGGTGGGTTAAATCTTAAGTTTTTGTTTTGAACAAAATGTCCAACTTTTGATATTTTTTTAAATGAGCACCTCCTGTAGTGGTGGCTACCTTTATCCTTGGAATGGGCACTCTCAGGGGTGATCCCTGGAATGTTTAGTGCGGCCCACATCCTGCCTCATGCCCTGTGTGGACTGAGGCTTTGCAGATCAGAATGTGGAGAACAACAAACGTCCCTCTCATGCCTCTTGCTTCTGTCCTTTTCCCCCTGTAGATAAGACTATCCATGCTGTGCATTGGGACCTCCCTTGTGTTTGGCCCCATTCTAGGGAAGAGCTGGAGACTCTACAAGGTGTTTACGCAGAGGGTCCCGGACAAGAGAGTGGTGAGTAGGCAGCAGTTTCTTACCAGTGCTTGATTGCAAACAACAGCTTTATTATTGATTATAACCTAGGGAAGTTTGTGTCAGATTACTGGGTAGGCCCTTTTATGGCAATCTGAAGTTTCTGCTCTTCATTTCAAATCTTGGAGTTGTGTGGCCTCTTAAGTCCCCAAGCCTAGAAGGCTATGTGCCTTGTGCCCTAGTGCTCTTGGGAGATAGGCCTTTGAACATAGTTCTGCTTCATATGTACCCCAGGCCTTGGTACGGGTGGTATTGTGTGAACTGGCCAACATCTGGAAACAGTGTGAGGGAGAACAAGATGCCCAGAGAGACTGTTGCTTGGCACAAGTGTGAGCTGAAAGTGGAGTGAGGGACAGTGATCACAGAGAAGCTATAGCAAGTAAGCAGTTATTTCCTTTACTGGAGCCCAGTTCTTTTCCATGTAGAAGGCCATTCTCTACACTAAGAAGGATGGGCCTGGAGCAGTGAGCAAAGAAGAGGACATCCATTCAGCAGATAGAAACAATCCTAAAAGCTGTGTGACAGCCAGATCACCTATATCCCTGACATCAGATGTAGTCCTGACCACATTTCCCCATTTTATCAGGTTCCCTGCCCAAACCTCAAAATCTGATCATCAAATTCTTTGCCTATAGGTCCTCCCCAGACCCAATATATCACTCAAATTGGAGTTTACTTCTCTGGAGTGATTTTTTTTTTTTTTTTGCAAACATTCATCAGTCATTATTCAGTGAATATTGATAAAAACCTCAGCTGTGAGTAACCATAATATGAAAAAAAAATTGACTAAAGGACAAGAAGTTGATCTATCCTTCTAGAACACAGATTTTTTTGTAAAAAATGGCTTTATTGAGGCATAATTGACTTGCAATGAAGGCTATGTGCCCGTGCTCTTGGGAGATAGGCCTTTGAATACAATATATTTCTTCATTTACTTAGGTCTTTTCTAATATTTATCAGCAATTTTTTATAGTTTTCAGTGGAGGTCTTTCACATCTTCTATCAGATTTATTCCTAAGTATTTAATTTTTATGCTATTATATGTTATTGTTTTTTATTTCACTTTCTGATTTTTTTGTTGCTAACATATAGAAATACAATTGATTTTCATATGCTGCTCTTGTATGTTCTAACCTTGCTAAACTACTTGCTGAACTACTTATTGTAGATCCATCAGATTGTAGATCCATCAGATCTTTTTGTAGATCCATCAGATTTTCTACATAGATGATCATATTATCTGTGAATAGTTTCTTTCCAATTTTCTGTATGATGGCACTGTCTAGAAACACTAGTACAATATTCAATACAAATGCTGAACACAGACATCCTTGAATTATTCTTGACTTTATGGGAAGAGCATTCAGTATTTCAAAAACTAAATATAAACTCGGGTTTTATTAACTAAACTAGGGTTTTATTAAAGAATTGATGTTGGGTTCTGTCAAATGCTTTTTCTGTGTCTATTGATTATATGTTTTTTTTTTCTTTTTTCGTTTGTTCATATGGTGGAATTACATTAAATGATTTTAGGATCTCAAACCAGCCCTATTTTCCAAACTCCACTTGGTCATGATGTATTAACCTCTTCTTTTATTGTTGAACTCCTTTTCATAAGATTTTGCTTAAATTTTATTTTATTATATATATATTATATATATATATTATATTATATATACTCGTGTTCTTAAGGGATGTTGTTCTATAGCTTTCTTTCCTTAGAAAATCTTTTCCTGGGCGCCTGGGTGGCTCAGTCGTTAAGCGTCTGCCTTCAGTTCAGGTCATGATCCCAGCGTGCTGGGATCGAGCCCCACATCGGGCTTCCTGCTCTGCAGGAAGCCTGCTTCTCCCTCTCCCACTCCCCCTGCTCAAGTCCCCTCTCTTGCTGTGTCTCTCTCTGTCAAATAAATAAAAAAAAAATCTTTAAAAAAAAAAAGAAAAGAAAATCTTTTCCTGGTTTTGGTATAGCATAATACCAGCCTTATAGAATGAATTAGGAAGTATTCCTTCCTCTTCAATTTCTGTAAGTGTTTGTGCACAATGCTATAGTTGGTATTCACATACATATAAATATCTCACAACAGTGTGCTTCCATTTCCCCCTCTCCCGATCTTTGTGTTGTTTTCACTTCTACATATGTTATAAGCCCCACACAATTGTTACTCATTTTTGTTTGAATGGTTATCTTTTAAAGATATTTAAACAATTAAAATCAATGTATATTTTTCCATGAAGATAATATTTCCTTGTCTAGGTTCATATTTTCATCTGATATCATTTTCCTTTTGCTTTAAGGATATTAACATTCTCATGCAGGTGTGCTAATGCTGAATTCTTTCAGCTTTTGTTTACCTGAAAAAGTCTTTATTTCCCCTTTGTTTCTGAAAGCTACTTTTGCTGGATATAGAATTACAGGTTGAGGCTTTCTTTTCTTCTTTCAGTACCTTGAAGTTTTCACTCTACTGTCTTCTCTCCTGGCCTCATCTGATAAGAAATCTAATGTCATCCTTGTCTTTGTTCCTCTACACATAGTGTGCTTTTTTTCTGGTTGATTTGAATATTTTCTTATTATCACTGATTGTAAGCAGTTTGATGAAGCAACTAATGACTGATGTGTTTTTATGTTACAGACACCATGAATCGTGTCACTAGTTGTGCTCTCTTCATTTCATTGGTTGTCAAAAACTCAGATGCACATTTCTCCCCCAATTCATGAGGGCTATGTACTCTCCTCATCTGACCATTCATCCTAATTCTCCTGTTTTTCTCTTTTCCTTGATATTTTTCAATTTTTGATTCTTTCTGTGGTTACAAAAGTAATACATCCTCTTTGTATTAAGTCAAATGATTCATATATGTATAAAGAAAATGCCAGTAATCTCTCTTCCACCACCCTCATCTTTCAATCCCACCCTCCAAGTTAATGGTTGTTAACAGTTTTTTTTTTAAAGATTTTATTTATTTATTTGAGAGAGAGAGAGAATGAGAGATAGAAAGCACGAGAGGGAAGAGGGTCAGAGGGAGAAGCAGACTCCCTGCTGAGCAGGGAGCCCGATGCGGGACTCGATCCCGGGACTCCAGGATCATGACCTGAGCCGAAGGCAGTCGCCCAACCAACTGAGCCACCCAGGCGCCCGGTTGTTAACAGTTTTATGTGAAAACTTTCATATCTCTCTATATGCTCATATGCACACATCTAGAAATAGTAGTGTGTTCATTTTATAAAACTCCTTAATCCTTTGTGAGAAAAGGCAGGATATGGAACAGATAAACAAATGAAAACATTTAATGGTGATGGTGATGACATGGACATAGACACCATTGTACATCTATAGTGTGTGTCTCATCTTTGATGGCTGGATGTGAAGCCCCCTGGGAGGGCTGACCCTGGAACATTTAGCTCAGAGCACATAGTATACTCCAGCCCCTGTGTCCTTTAGCCAGCAAGCCAAGGAATGTTATGACCTTGACTCTTTTGCAGATAATCAAAGACCTGCAGCTACTGGGGTTGGTGGCAGCCCTGGTGATAGCTGATGTGATCCTGCTTGTGACGTGGGTGCTGACTGATCCCATCCAGTGCCTCCAGATTCTCGGTGTCAGTATGATGGTGAGGGGCCCAATCCCTGGACAACCTACTTCCCGAACTGGGAGGACTGGCTTCTGTGGGTACACTAGGGTCATTCTCCGAGCAGTACTCACTCTGCAGTCATCCTCCCAACAAGAAGATAAATGACCCAAAAAGGAGGGAGAGTCGGAAGCTTTGGCTGTGGTGAATGCCTTGTCCCTTGTCTGCAGGGTGTGCTACCATGGCCACTGCCCCTGCTCCTGCTCCACGTGTCTTCCAGCAGCATCCTCTGAGATGTCAGCACATGAGAACTGCCCGGCAGTTATCTCTGCTTTTGTGATTATTTCATGATCAGTAATGAGAACTTTCAGGCACAGGAAGTTGACTTCCCCTAGTTATTGAGAAGTAAAAGTGGTATTTTGAGGTGGTCGTGGGAGGCAGTCAGCCCTCCTTCAAATCCCACTTACCAGCCATATGACCTTGGGAGAGTCATTTAAACCTCTCGCAGTCTCTGTTTCCCCATAGGTAAAGTGGCGATGATAGTGTTTCTTATTTACTAGGGCTGTGGCGAAGATGAAGGGAAATGCAGGGAAAGGGCTCAACTGTGCCTACTACGTAGAGTTCGATTAACAGGAAGTATTATTAAGTCTCCAGCCTCACAAGGGGCTGAAGAATACAGTGGAATCTTGACTTTGCAGATTTAGTATTTACAGTTTCAACTGTTAACAAATAGCAGAAACAAGATGTGAAATAATTCATAATTTTGCTGATACACTAATTTGAGTCACTGTGGTAGCAAAGCACATAACTGAGGAGTAAGCCCCACCACCACTAAGCATCCACATGTCAGCCAGACTTTATCATCTTTTCCTTTAACTCATAGTCACTTTCATCTAGATTATAATGGAGTCACCTAAATGTTATAGTTTTTACATATTAAGGAGGAAATTACATGCTGTAGAAGAGTTCACGCTCCAGATGTCCCCAAAGATCTCCTGGGTGTTCCTGGTAATTGTAGGTTCCTTCCGTCCTGACTCTGTGTCCCTCCTAGGTGACAGGGAGAGACGTGTCCTGCTCTCTGACCAGCTCACACTTCTGTGCTTCCCGGTACTCTGATGTCTGGATTGCTCTTGTTTTGGTATGCAAGGTTGGTAACCACATATCCTTGGGATATAATCTATCTGTCACCAACAAAATAGCCATGAAAAGGGAATTAGAGGAATTAGTGAGGTGATTTCTGCAAAGAATCTTGAAATCAGAGGAAACCTGTGTTGATGCATAAATCTCAAAGTTACAACCCTTATTGGGTCACTTTTCCAACTCTTTGGACCCCCTCATTCAATTTTCCCCTAAATCATGTGAAATTCACCCACTGTTTCTCTCATTTCTTGGTCTGATTTTTTTAATTGATTTGGCAATACCAGTTTTTTCCCCAACTCCCTGCAAGGGAGATTATGCAGAGACATTTTACCCAGCTTTATTTGTTCTCTTGAGTGCCCTGATTAACCTCCTTCTGTTTTTCTTCAAGATTTGGGTCAAGGTATCCTGCTGCCTTTCATCAACCTTTCTTACTCTGATCAGAAGTAGGGCTGGCCCTCAGACAGATGGCAACATCCATGGTGTCTTTTGAGTGGTTCCAGCTGCCTCAAAGGGTCCCCATACTGCCCTGAATCTCCCACAATTAACCTCATTTGTCTCTGTTAGATGGCAAAAGTGGGATATTATTTCTAGCAAGTACAGGATACCTATACAGGGCACTAAAGGAGGTTCTTAGAACCAATTTCCTATTAGCTGGTTGTCAGCATGAAGAAACAGAAAATCTGGCTCTGAGGGGTATAGGGCAGGCTTATGTCACTTAGGCAAACCCTGGGTGGTAAGAGACTACCTGTTGATCCTCAGGACAAAGAGGCCTGGCTGACTGATAGCTGGCAGAAGAGAAGGAATTTTTGTAGAACTATGTGGTCTTTAAAGGTAAATTTTACTCACTTCACCACCAGGAAATTGTTCAAGTGGATGCTTCTGAGAAGTAGGGCTGGGATAGGGAAATATTGCTTTTTTACTATGTGAATATATTACTTTGAAAGAAATGTTTTTAAGAGCGAACACTGGGCAGTAAACCGCTCTTGACCTCTAGCTTCTTGCTAACAGTTAAGAAAATGAACTTCAGAATATGACAGAACAGGGTTTGAGTTCTGACTCAGCCCCTTCGTAGCTGACCCTGAACCTCATTTAAACTCTCTGAGCCTGGGTTCCCTCATACGTAAAATGGGGATGATGACCACATCCTCTAAGAACTGTTCTGAATTTCAAAAGAGTTAGTGCATGATCAGAGTTTTCTCAACCGCTCCTGGCCCATAGGAAGGGCTCAATAAATGTTAGATGTTATTATTATTATTAATCTTCCACTGCCCCCTGGACAGTTTGATTTCTTGAGCCCTATAGAAAAACATGTTCTCCCCAGGACAGAAACTCGGCACTTTCCCTATAGCAGCTCACTTTGTGCCTCAACTTGATTTATTTTCTCCATTGCCTTTTATATAATCCCATTTCTATTTTATTTCACTGTAAAATCTTTCTGAAGGACAAAGGAAGAAAACAGGAAAAGAGTGGTAAGCATCAGAAAACTGACTGAGCCAGCCCCTCATGGGCTCCCTGGTCAATGAGCAGTTCCTGAGGATGACTTAAATCTTCACATTACGTTCCAGGACCCCCACCCAAGCCTGGCAACTGCCCTCACCCCACACTTCTCAGCAGTGAATACCGATGACACAAATATTAGATATGATTTACTCAAACAAAAGTCATGGATGTGGACAGGCTTTATTCATACCTAGTTCCCTTTTGGCAAGAGTTTTGATGGAGTTAAAACATTTTAAAAGAATGAGACATGAACATTTCAAAATCATAGAATTAATTTCATTTACTTTTGATTAAATTACTAAGGATCCAGTTTGCCAGATGCCACCTGATGGTGTCACTTACCCAAAACTCAAGCCCATTGGCCTGACCTTGTGTCTTCTAGTCATTGCAGATCTCAGGGCGGCCACCTTTGGCTCTCCAACCCCTCCTGGGACACTAGGCATTAGGGGCGCCCAGAAGGCATCCCTGCCATGCTGACTTCTTCACTGTCGGCACAGCCAGGCTTCCAAAAAATTATCTTTAGGGCTGTCCTTACAGATAGAGTTGGTCAGATCGTATGATTTCAGGGTCACTGGCAGATACCCTGCTGATGCCTGGCCTTGCTTTCATTATTAGTTCTCCCTCTGAATATCTATACTTCCCACCCCCACCTCAATCCTCATGGCATCTTCACATTCTGTGTGACAAAACATGGACATCTGTGTGCTTCCCTTAAATCTCCCTACCAGACTGAGCTTCTCGAAAGCTAGGACCACGACTTATTCTTCTTTGTAACACCTTTGCCTACCCTGCACCTAACATACTTTGTCCATAGTCAGATGAACGTATGTTGAATCTATACATTATGTATTATTGATTACAGCTTTGATTTCTGTTTCAATGCAGCTCCCTCTAGGAGAGGCAGCACTTTAAAGTGCTGTGAGTAATTTTCTCTGTAGTACAAGTGAGAAATCTGAGAGCAGTTTTATTTTCATGGGAAAGAGGAAAGAATAGGGCACTGGGTTCCTGGTGGTGGGGGCAGGGAATGTCACACAGAGGATGAAGGGTATAGATGAAGCCTTTTTTGCCTGTGCCTGCTCCACAGCCTCGCTTAGGTCCCAGCCTGCCTTTGTTCTCTTTTTCCAATCTCCCATAAACACCCACTGGCACAGAGCCGCTGCTAGCCTATAGAGATCCTTTGTGTGAATTAGAAAAAGGCATCCCTTCTAGACAGATGCAATCTTGCAGGTGCAGAGCTTGGCAAGCAGATGGTGCCTTTGGGAAAATTAGCGGGGCGGGGGGGGGGGGGGAAGCCCATTCCTCAGGGCGCTGCCCCTGCCAAGGCACACGGCTTGACAAGCAGACTACAGGGCTGTTTCTGCTTATACGTGCCCCTCAGCTCCACATAGTGCAAAACCACACAGCAGGTGTGGTAGTCCTTACCACTGACAGCACGGTGTGCCCGCTGCCCTCCGAGTGCCCAGCAGCCCGTCCTGTAGAGCTCCTTACCCACCTACACCATCCTGTCCTGTGCCCTGTCCCAGCAGAGTCCTGTCTGATGGCTGACTTGCTGACCTCCAATAAACGAATTCCCAGGGAAGGAGAGGAGAATCACATTTATTTTTAGCACCTATTAGGTGTAAGGGGCTGCCCTTAGGGTCTCCCCATGTGCTATCTTAGTACATCTTCATAACGACCCTTTAAGGTAGGTCCAATTATCCCTATTTTAAAGGGGAGGAAATTGGTCCCAACCCTCCTGCTCTTGACACTCAGCCCATAGTTATGCTTCTCTCAGCGCCTGGTTCTCTCCTCCATCTCCAGGGCCTGCTACTGCTCTATGGTGCCTACCTGGCTGGCCTGACTGACCACGTCAGCTCTCCTCCCGTGAATCAGTCTTTAACCATCATGGTTGGGGTCAACCTCGTAGTAGTGGCTGCTGGGCTTCTGTTCGTGGTCACCAGATACTTGTACTCCTGGCCCAACCTGATCTTTGGACTCACATCTGGAGGTATCTTTGTTTGCACAACCACGATCAACTGCTTCATCTTCGTTCCCCAGGTATGCTCTAGGGAGAATTTCACAGGTTAGTCCTCTTGGTCATTCCAGAGGCTTCCCTGGACATGATAAACTGCTCACTTTGTTTTCTAATGAGACTTTTGGGTATCATTTATTGGAGAGTCAGAAGGAAGGCAAGTTCCTCGCGAGCGGGCTCTCTCTGTTCTTCCCTCCTCGCTTCTCCTGAAGAGGACAACTCTGCTCCACGTCAGCAAGGAGGGCAGGCCAGAGTGGCTGAGTGGGCACAGCAGCATGTTTCCAGCCCTGGCAGGCTGCCTCACAGATCAGCTTGTCCCCCTACCCTCCCGTCGATTTCACTCATCCCCAGTACCCCCTTCTTGATAATGTCATTTCTTTCACTAGCCTGGGAGGGAGGAGCTTTTCTTTCTTTCCTATTGGAGATTGCAGATTCACAGAGAAAAACTCATTTGGAAATTTATGCAATTTAAAATGCTTTTTTTCTTTCTTTTCATTAGAAGAAAATATAGAACATTTCTTTTTACAATAAGGAGAAATAAAAACTGAATAAAAATGTGTTTCACACTATGGGGATTAAGAAAAAAAAATCACACAAGGGAGGAAGATAGAAGCAGAAATATCCAGACAGTGAAGAGAAAGAAAAGGAGTCAGAGGGAAAGGAGAAGGAATCCATGGGCTCTGAAACTGATGTTAAATTATTCATGTTATGCCCTAGGGTACCACTGAGCCACATATATCTGAGTTAATGAACTTGGCATTAGGCACCTGTCCTGTTTCCCCTCTAGATCTCTTTCTCTTCCCCCAAGGCCCCCCTCATCCCACTACTCCCTCTAGACTCCATCTTGATTCCCTTTGCTGTTTGAAGTTGACTATGAATGACTTCATGAGGGAGCTAACTGATAATTAAACTGTTGGCAGGGGAGGGTCACAACTGCCCTTTGGGGCATGATGGTGTGACACAGGCAAAGGCCTTTACTCTTCTTCCCTTTCATAAATTCTCATTAGAATATTCTACAGAATAAACAAATATAGAAAAACCTGTGGCAGCAGCACTAAAAACCAAGGATGGGTATTGCATCTCTGCTAAAAACTAAAGGAATTTTTGCTGAAATCTCTATGTTATAAGAACTAGTTGGAAGGAAGCCATGAGAGCTGAGGCTTATTTGTCTGGGGTGTAGCAAAAAGGGTGGTTCCTCTCTGGGAGATGGGAAAGAGGGAGTAGGCAGTGGTCTTTTGGTGGCCCACTCCTTAGGCTCTGTGGCCAATGTTGTTGATTGGTAACCCATCCATCCATTGCTAACCCCTTTCTTCCTTGCTCATCTCCACTACATAGGCTGAAAGAGCTCAACACTTGCTTTACCAACCTCTGTTATAGCTAGTGGTGCCCATGTGATACCGTTTTGAATACCAAAGTGTTCCTGGAAGACTTATGAGAAAACTTTTGCTTTCCTGAAAAAGCAAAACAAAATAAAAAAACATCTAGAGGCATGGCTGGCATCACCTATTCTACCTTCTTCCTACCTTGAATGTGTTTGTGATGCCTGGAGCTATGGCAGCCATCTTGTGACCACGAGTGAAAAGCAAAGCAAATATATTTACTGTACTAGGAAACTATAGCTCTTCTCATGTAAGACTATAAATTCAGGAGGAAAGGACCTATGAAGAGATTCTGCAGTTCATAAGAACAGGACCACAAACTTCTGAAGATTTGGAGAAGCTGCCTTCCCCTGAAGTAAAATAGTTTTTAGAAGAGATCTGATTTGTCTTGTCAATGGGATTCAAAGGACATTGCCTCTCTTCAACTCAAGTGAACCATCATGAAAAGGACATAATCTTAGATCATGAAATACTGAATAAGGATGAAAAAATATTGTGTTAAACTTAAAATTCCAATAAAAGCCTTGAATAGACAATGGGACATGGCAAAATACTGAATTAGTGAATTAATTTAAGGAAACAGAAAACAAGGAGACAGATAAAAAATGAGAGACTAGTTAAGAAAATATGGAGAACAGATATAGGATACAACGTAGAACTAGTAAGAATCTCTGAAAGACAACAAGATAATCTGGGGCAGAAGTAATCACCTAGGAACTGTTAGAGGAGAGCCTTCCTGACCTAAACAAGACCTCTATCTGAAAATGGAGTGAATCTGCAACCTCCATGATGTGGCCGTACTTGTAACTTTCCCTTCACACCCACCTCTGTCCCTTTCTCATCATCCTGAGCCTCAGACGCAAGACTTCCACTGTCCCTGCTGTTTGAATCCTCAGTGGTAATATTTAGGTCCACTCCCATCTACACACAGACATAAACATGTAGGACAAAGTTCAGCTTGGAATCTCACTTCCAGCTTTGACCTAAGCAACAAGCACTTGGTTTGTTGAAGTGGGAGTGAAAATAGAAATATTAGGGGGTATAGGAACTGGGTGGACAGACAGTGTGGGTCTTTCTCTTTCCGTCTCTCTGACTCACCCCCCCCCCTTTTCCCTCCTAGCCGTCTTGAGCTTCCATTCTCTTACTCTCTTTCCTCTTCTATTTTCTGTCTCATGCTTTTTCTCCTCTTGAACTGACCATGATCTAAAACCAAAAAAGATATGTTATAGTTTATTGTAGTTTAGGTGTAGGGGAGTAAATGCTATTTCAAAATATAAAAGTAACAGGCTTGTCAGTTTTTTGTATGCCTCTGAATTGATTTTCTTCTCTGGCTCAGTGGCCTTTGGTAGAAGAAAGATTCTCCTTGTGATACCTGCACTGTGTCTTCCAGGAAAATAGGACGGCTGAACAAATTTGGAAAGGTGTGTGAGGAGAGCTATATGGGGAGGGGAGGCAGCAGGAGGTGGACTGCCTTCTTGTGGCTAAGCCTTCAGACTGGACTAATGGGAGGGGCTTACGAAAGCCGAGGCACAGATACGCCCAGGGCAGCTAGGTGGCGCTAGAAAGCTGAGTGAAATGGATGACATTGCTGAAGAGGCAAGTGGGCCAAGTAGCACTCTACACAGGCCCTCAGGAAATGCCTAAGTGTTTATGCCAAACACTGAGGTCATCCCCAGCAATGAGCCAGCCTCGGCTTTTATGACCTGAACGTGACCCAACTCTATATACATCCCCCCTCCATCCCTCTCACTCTGAGAGGCAGGTGGGTTCTGAGATAGGACATGTTTTTTTTTTCCTCGGCATCCCCCAAATGTTTCATCTGCTCCTCCATGAAGGTCTTTAGGAATTTCTACTCTGTCTTATAGTCCTCTGTATACATCCATCCCAGTGCCCCCTAGCTTTCTAGAGGAAAGCTTCCTTCATTTGTTCACATATCTGCCCATCCCTTACTAACTGCAGGAAACATGTAGTTCAACACATGGCCCCACCTCCAAGTCTAGTAGGGAGCAGATGTGAAAGGAATTATAATACATGCGTTAAGTGTCTGAGGAAGGTATGTTACCTAATGCTGAGGAAGGGGTGCCTCAGGCTGTCTGGGAACTCCGTGACACCTTCTCAGAAAAGGGGTGTTTGGGCCCAGTCTCGAGGGAGGTATAACAGTTCACTGAGCAGATTGGGGAAGGACAGTGGGTGGCATTTTTGATGGGGGAACACCATGACCAGAGGCAGACATATAGGAGACAGAACAGGGTATGTTTGTGCACTTTGCATTTATTGAAGTACAAACTGAATCAAGGGGAGAGTGGCAGGAGGTGAGAGAGGCACACGGGCTGAGCTTCCAAAGGCCCTGGTTTACCTGGTACAGATTGAGAGTCAATCCCACTGTGTTAGTGTCCTACTGCTGCTGTAACCAATTACCAAAAATCAAGTAGCTTAAAACAATACACATTTATTATTTTATAGCCCTGGAGGTCAGACTTCCAAAATGGTCCTTATTTGACTAAAATCAAGATGTCAGTAGGTGTGTGTTCCTTCTGGAAGGTCTAGGGGAGAATGTGTTTCCAGGCCTTTTCCAGCTTCAAGAGACTGCTTTCATTACTTGACTCATGGCTTCTTCCTCCATCTTCAGAGCCAGCAGTGTGGTACCTTCATCTCTCTCTCTCTTTCTGACCTCTGCTTCCACTGTCAACATCTCTTCTTCTGACTCTCCTGCCTTCCTCTTATAAGGACTCTTGCGATGACATTGGCCTTGCCCAGATAATTGAGAACAGTCTCCCCTTCTCAAAATCCTGAACTCAGTCACATTTACAAACTCCCTTTCACCGTGTGCGGTAACAGATTCACAAGTTGCTGAGATTGGGAGGGGAAGAACATCTTTGGGGAAACATTATTCATCCTACCACACCCACATGGCCCAGAGGCTGAGAAAACAAGAAAATGCTTGCCTTCTGGAGGAAGTGCCATGGAGAGGTCCTAAAATTGTGACCTGGGGGTCATTTATAGCCATGGTCCAGAAAGCCAGAAGGGTCAAGTCTTAGGGACCAGCATCCCCACAAAGGGGAGGAGGAGGATTTAATCAAGGGGCACCCTGGCTGTGCCCTCCAGCTTGGGGTGAGACAGCCCAGAAGCCCTGGTGGTGCCCTTACACCAATGTTGAGTAGTTCTTCCAGCAGCCCTGCACAGAGGGCTCAGACTGGGGGTGCTGGGGGGAGAGAAACGTAAAGCTATGCTGCTAAGGAAATGAGGGGGCCCTGGGAGGGAACAGAGACACTGCAACACTGCTAGGGTGAGTGCTAGGAGAACCCTGGAGGTCTGCTCCACCCACTGAAGACCACAGAGTGACCCCGCGCGGTGCCAGGTTCCTAACTCCTGAGTCCCCAGCTGAGCTGACAGCCCCTGGGGAGGGGGACTTCGAGAAGGGCATCCAGAGGGGAGGGTCCTAGCCTGACCCAGCACAGATCACCCAGACTCCTGATACCATAAAGGACTCGTGCTGAGTCAACAGAGGACCCAGGAGGACTTGGGTGAGAATTTTTTGCGGTTGATGGTGGGAATTTATAATCCTATCCACTTTACCAAATTTGGGTTACACTCCATAGTCAGAGCTTAATAAATGTTTGCTGAGTAAGCAAATAAATTCCAGGATCCCCGTGAGGCTCCCTACAGACCACTCAGCATCCTATCTAGAGCCAGCGTACATCACTAGGACCCTTAATGATGAGAATTCCTTAAGGGAGAAAGAGAAGCATCCAGAACTGCTGCTCCCCTCACCCCCCCACCCCCAGCCTTCACATTACTGGCATTCACCACATGGAGACAATATCCCGAAGGCCCAGGAACATGCCCCCATTTGTGAATGTTCTGTATTCACTTCCGTTCTTAAGAAATTAAACCAGCCCGAGCTTCCACAGATTGTTTCTCAAAACCAATTTCTCCTGAAAAACCCTCTGTAGGACCCCCCACAGTTCCCAGTCTCTGTCTTCAGCAGCCGTGCTGAGGAGATGTGGTGTGGCACAGGGCCTGGTGACAGCTGGGGCCGTGCTGCTAAGTAGCTGTGGGGCCTGGAAAGGTCATACTCCTTCTGAGTCTTTCCTCATTTGTCACGTAAAAAGGACAGTCAACTCTCAGACCTAATGTTCTGTCATTTCTATTGAATTTTATTGACATTTGTGGTTTTCTATCTGTCTGAGACTTGATTATTGATTTGGGCAAGAAGTCCTCCGGCGGGGACTGGGCTTTCAGTAGCAGTAAGCACACAATTACTTCACAAATGAGAATAATTAAGAACAGCTACTCACAACTAAAAGCAGTTTCATTTGAAACATACAATGTTTAGATTGCCTCACCCTGTGAAAGCTCCTAACCTCTGGCTTGAGAATATGACTCTAGAAGCGTACTTCAACTCTGGTTCACCCCGACGGAGTCTGGCCATAGGTAGGTAGGTGGGTCAAGCTAAGATGATTCTATCTTATTGACCTGTCATCTTCTTCGTTTGGCATTGTTTAAACTAAGAATGACCTTAACCTTCTCTATACCTTCTGTCATTGCTGTCTGCGAACTTTCCAAAGTACATTTTTTTTAAACATCACAAATATGATTTTTTTATTTGTCACCATTAAATGTCTGACTTTTAAACAGATTCTTGGACTGGTGGCTCATATCCATCAGCTCGTTCAACTTTAGCACCGGTCTCATCCCCAGTAGCTTTTCCAGAACTACTACCTTCACCATGAAGCTCCATGAGCTTTCCCAATTCAAACTTGGACTTCTTCAGCATTTTTACTTTTCTAATGAAGACATCATGAAGTGGATAAATAGACTGACAAGCCTTTTCTATATCTTTTCCGATGCTGTCTGGAATCAATTTATTGACCACTTCTTTCAAGTCATTTGTTTGCACCTCTCGGGTCATGATTTCCATCATCTTTTTCCGAATTTGACGGACCTGTTGGTGCTGAGCATAAGAGGTCTTCCGAATCTGATTATTGCGTTTTTTTAGTAAAACCAACACAAAATAGACGAAGCAAATAACCATCGGTAGTCTTGATATCAACATGAGCTTCGATCATGGTCTGCCATTTTTTGACCATGGAGCGCATTTTGTCACGGGTAAGATCCATGCCATGGAAATTAGTCAGGCAGTTTTTGCCCTGAACATCCTCAGTAATTAGCTTGAATTTTCTAAATGCAACTTCATCATTCTGCAAATCAGCAAGACTCACTTCAAAAACCCGACCTTTGAGGCCATCAGATGCGATTTTGGTTCCTTGAGTTCTTGTGACTAATGTTTTTCCAATATTTCTTATATTGAACATAGCTGGTGCTTTCACATCATACCAATCTTTCTTAGAAAATGGATCAACCACTTTCTTCTTGGCTCCCTTTTTGCCGCCTTTCGTAAGGCGCTTGTTCTTGCCGACCGCCATGGCGCTGCTCAGGGAGCCAAAAGGTCCAAAGTACATTTTGAGGAGAGACTAGCTTATACGTATGTGTGTATCTGTGACACTCTCATGCCTTGATGGTTTTGAAAAAGAGGGAGAGAATGTGTTTCTGGGAGTGTAATTAAATAAATAACATGTGTTCTTTTATCTAACAGCTGAAGCAGTGGAAGGCATTTGAAGAGGAAAACCAAACAATCAGACGCATGGCCAAATATTTCAGCACTCCCAGCAAAAGCTTCCAGACCCAGTATGGTGAGGAGCAGAACTGCCACGCCGGAGGAGAGAGAAACTCCATGGACAGACTCCTCACAGAAGTAAGCTAGACCCCTGCCTGGTGGATTCTCTGTCAGCAAAACTCCAGTCATGCGTGGTGGACCCCAGGTGTCTCATGGCTAACATTCTTTCTTATTCTTCAATTCCCCCACTTCTCTCAGCCCCAGGCAGAAAGCTCAGCATTTCCCCAGGGACCCCTCCCATCGCTGACCTCACCCACTGCATTCATCCACTAGCCATATGTGTCCCAGGCATTGTGCAAAGTACTGATGAACAAAACAAATACAGTCCTTACCCTCATGGAGTTCACAGTCTATTGGAGGAAATAGATGTTGATCAAGTAAACAAATGTATAATTATAAACTAAATGTAAGAATTATGAAGGAAGGGGTGCCTGGGTGGCTCAGTTAGTTAAGCGTCTGCCTTTGGCTCAGGTCATGATCCCAGGGTCCTGGGATTGACTGTGTTGGACTGCCTGCTCGGTGGGGAGTCCGCTTCTCCCTGTCCCTCTGCCCCCTCCCACTCGTGCACGCTCTCTCTCACAAAAATAAATAAAATCTTAAAAAAAAGAATTATGAAGGAAGAAATCATAGTGGTAAGACAGAATAATGGGTAGTGAGGGCAAGGGAACCTAAGTTAGAATGGTCAGAAAAGATTCTCTGAGCCAAGAGCTGAAGGTTAAGTACAAATTGGCCAGGTGCAGGGAAAAGCATTCCGAGCAGGGGGAACAGTGTTGTAAAGGCCTTGAGCAGTAGTGGATCCTAGCTTCTTCTGTATGATGCACATTCTCTTTTCTTAGAGTAGTACCCTCATTTCCAAGATCTTATGGGGCCCATTATTGTCCTTTCTAGGTTTGAATGAGAGATTTCAATCATCCTACCAACCCAGAAAGTGTCCAAAATGGGGTGGAGGGCTTAATAGGGCCTCTGAATATCATAGTAGCATCAGGAGAAGACTGGGCCAACCCCGAGCCCCTTTCTCCTCTGCTCTTGAGCCAGAGTTGGCACCTCTCCCAAAATTGGGCGGTGTGATATGGGCTTGAAGAAAGCACCTGGAAAAGCTTGAGGCTGCACTGCCTCAGAAAGGAGGCATAGGACTCAAAGGAATCAGTTTTTCACACTCACTAACTTATAGTTCATACTTTTTCAGCACAGGACACACCTGAGTCGGTGCTATGTGGGAAACTACACTTATTTGTAACTGGCCTGACACCTGGGTATCAGTTGTCCCTGTGTGAGACAATGGTGCGATGGGGACCTAAGGAACACAACCAGGGAAGGCATTAACCTCCCCAGGCACCCCCTGCCTGTGTTCCTCTACTCCCTCACCATGCCCTCAGTCTGGAGCTCTTGAATCCACCAGAGTAATACTTCTCCATTTCTTTACTATTCATGAAGCATTCAGGACCTTATTTCAAAACCAGATTCCTTCCTACCTGGCCAGGGAATAAGTAGCATTGCCTTTGATACTCTGTGAAGTCTTCAAAGAAGGATTTTTTTTTTTTCCAGCTAAACAGAAGGCTGGAAACTTGGCGAGAACAGCCAGGATGGTTTTTATTCACAATCAGCTAACGTTGGAACAGCCAAGTGGCCTGACTCTTTAGCCTTATGGTAATTTGTGACGTGCTTTTTGTATTTCTGCCATGCTACCCTGTTTCCCACGCAGTAACTGAATCTGCTCTATCCAAAAAGATGCTTTGCGTCTGCGGAGGAAGGGCCCTAATAGGGAGCAGATGCAGAGGCAGTAAAATCCTGGCCTCCTCCTCCTGCGGCCCTACACCTGGAACATCTTTCCCAGAACAGGCCTGAGGACAAGCAGCCTGTCCTAGGGCCCCTCCACAGGCCTAGAGAGCTTCCAGTATCTGGGTCTCCAGTTCCAGCACGGGAACTGGTAGCTAAACACAAGTATCCCTCCTGCTTCCCTATGCGCACAGACCCTGACTCCAGCTCCCCGGTTGCAGGTCCCCTCTGTGCAGCCCCCTCCTCAGCCCCCTCTGCCGCCTCTGTCCTCTTCTTGCCTTCCCATGGGGTGGACAGTCCGTCTCCCCACTCTTGCCTTCCTTGGCCCTAGGGCCAGAGTTCCTCCAGAGGCTGTTTGGGCAGCATGCATCACTGACTTGCCAGGCTGTGGGAAGGACAGCAGACAGAACCTTCCCAGAGGTGGAAGAACCTCCCTTGTACACTCTGCAGCAGAGGACATTCACCTACAAGGGGGTGACTCCATTTCTCCTCATAGCCTGCACTTTCTAAAACACACCAGTGGATGTTCTGCTTCCCCAGATGTGCCAAAAGTAATAATTAATAAGCTCATTTAAACGTAGCTGGCGCCGTAGGTCAGATTTCGGTCTCACAATGGCAACGCCTCACACCACGCCTTTAATTAGTATGCAGCCCCAGTGAAGACAGAGTCCCACTTCCTTTTCTGGAACAAGGGAAATTTACTGTTTAGCCTGACGTTTCTAAATCCATCACCAGTCAGCTTCAGATGTTTGGTTTGCTGGGAGAAAAGTATTCTTTCCAACTCAATGTTTACCCTATTTTTCTACACTCAAAGGAATGGGGAGCACAAAAAGTCAGCACTTGGGGTTTACTTGCTGGGGTCCTTGTCATCAGCTGGTGGCTCCCCCCTAACTCCGTGGGGCAGTGGAGACCCCTAACGGGTTTCAGGAGGAGGGACTGGTGAGGAGGAGGAGGGTTAGGGTCCCTCCTGTGCAGCCAACTCAGTCATGCCCATGAGATCCTCAGAAAGGTATCTGGTACCACCCAGAGGTCATGAAGAGCCCAGATGAATGTCACCGTGTTACTCATCCACTCTGCTCCTGGTGAGTCCTTGAGTCATCTACGCTTCCCCGGGAACGCCCCGGCCTCACCACTCTGCAGGTGAGCAAAGGGAGGATGGGGAGGCAGGAGCTCAGCTTGCAAGCCCCTTCCGTTTATTCACCAGTTACTCACTGGTCCTGGACTCTCTCCTGAGGATAAAAGAAGAAGACTCAGCCGGGATGAACCTGGAGTACCAATATTCGGAAAATCACCCTCGTGCTTATAAAGAGGGAACAGGAAATCCCCTTGGAGTCGCTGCCAGAGGACTATTGCTGGACTAGTTTACTTAAGTTACTGCTCCCTTAAAGCGTCACTTCTGGGCAACACTCCCATATCAACTTGAGAAAAAAACCACAGGTTCAGTCCACAGGCGACTTGTTTCAGGTAGCCAAAGGAGGGAAACATGCTTTTATTTCTAGGGCACAATAAATGGATTTCCAGATGCTCATCCTCAGCTTCTAGAGAGGATGACCACAAAGAGGCCGCATTTTGGTATTTGGACAAGCACTTCCTAGAATGCAATGTTTGTGTTATTACTCCCAAACCCTGGACCCTGTATCATCTGCCCCAAGACCATCACCTCTCCTTTGGGCTCCACTACTTTTGAACATCAAAAATCTCAGAAGATGGACATAAGTTCTAAGCTAGACAATCACCGGCTGTACCAGCAGAGGATGTTCAGGGCACACCCAACACCATCCTTCCTCCTGCTTCATGCCCCCCAGTCTTAACAGTTAGGGCGGGCACACCCCTGCAGCCCTCACCTGCCAGCCCTCCTGAGTACAACCTGTTTGTCAGCTCACAGCCGTGCAGCAGGTAGGCTGCTCCCCGGGCTCAGTCATCTCCTGGGTTCCATGCTAGATCTACTAGATCAAGCAATCAGAGATTTAGTCCCAACTATTCTAATAAAAAGAAAAAAAGGTTTCTCCAGTAATTCTGGTACCTGCCCTCTTTAAGAGCTACCGACAGCTAATGGCGCCACATGGTAGCTTTGGCGCCCGCCCCCGAGGTCCCGCCAAGGGAGGTGACGACACCAACTTGAGAATCCCTGTTGCACCCGTCCCAACCCCCAGCTCGGGTCTTGTCTCTTTGGTGCAGGAATCTCCACTCTTCTCTCTGTTCTTCCCAAATGTTCTAGTCTGTTTAGCAAGAGGCAAAATATGTATTTCCTCATTCATTCATCCCCTTGAGATATGCCTGAAATTCATCTGTATTTTGCGCAAGTGTGACAAACCCCGAGTTGGGCCATCTCAGACATTTTCAGAGTGGTGTCCCATGGAGCGGCCTGACCCTCTAAGTTCTGAGGAAAGGGGAGAGGGGCTGCCGCAGCCAGCAAACAGCTAATACTCTGCCTCCTCTGACCTCCCTTCTCACCAACAAAGCCACACACTCAATGGATGTAAGGCAGGGATTAAGATCACCCCACAATAAATCATGGCTAACCTTTACTGAGCACCATGTGTCAGTTATTGTGGTAAGCACTTCACTCACATCCCCAGAGCCTGAGATCACCAGCTGACATGCAGAGGAACTGGGATTTAGAGCAAGGTTCTGATGCCACGCTTTCTCCACCATGGGAAACAATGTAAAAACCCTCAGAGGCATCCTTTATTGATGGTTTCCCTTTTATTTTACAGAAAAATGCTATGATTGAAAGCCTGCAGGAACAAGTAAACAACGCTAAAGAGAAGCTAGTGAGGCTGATGTCAGCTGAGTGCACCTTCGACCCCCCAGAGTGGGCTGTCTCTCCGGCCTCTTCCCACAGCAAGAACACCCTGGTTGCAGCCTCTGCCCACAGCCTGGTAGCTCAGGGGCCTTCAGAATGCGTCTCTGGCTCTCAGAACGATACCAGTGTGGTTGCCCAGGACTCCCAGAGCACCTCAGTGCCCTCCTCAAGTGTACAAAGCCTGGAGCGGGCTGTGAAGGACACCAGCTCCTCCCCAGGGCAGAAGGAGAAAATGTCTAACTTGAAAGACATTTCAGATCATTTAAATTTGGGCTGCAGCCAGAAGCCACGGCCTGAGCAAAGCCAAGGTGCAGAAAGGCGAGACCAAGTACCCATGAACCCCCACCAGATTCTCATACCAGGGAGAGAAGGCCCCATTCCCCAGAGACAGGGGCAGCTGGAGAACTCAGAGGAGCCCCAAAAGCGGCTGTCAAGGGTCAATTCAGTGATCAGGGAGAAGCTTCAGGAAGTCCTACAAGATCTGGGCCTGGGCCCTGAGACTCCCCTCCCCTCTTCCCTGTCCTATCCCCAGCAGCCCTGGAAGAGCAGTGCTGCCCACAGCTTCCAGAAGATTCCCCTCGCCAACGAGCTGGGCTTCAGCCCATACATGGTGAGGAGAAGGCGGGCAGCAATGCGGGCTCGCTCACATTTTCCAGGCTCTATACCTTCAAATGTGGGGCATCGTGCAAATAGGGCTGTTTCTGGGGCACACAGTGGGCGGCTAAGTGTGCACAATAGGGACAGTGACTGCCCGGATCCCCAAACTGCTGATTCCAGAGTCCCAAATCCCTCTTCCAGGAAGACTTCACTACTCCGCGATCCTCAAGGCAAGCCGGGCACTGTGGAGGGCAGCAAACAAAGCCAGACAGAGCCCCAGGGTGCCAGAGGGAGCCATGCAGCCTTTCCCCACCAGCCTTCTGGCTCTGATTGGGCACCGTGTCCCGCTGCCCCTCACCTATCCAGAGCCTCACCAGACATTCCAGAGCAGCGGCAGCTGCTGCCCCTGGGATTCCCACGCTCTCCCTCCATGTCCCCTCCATGCAACTACCTTGACACTGAGTCCAGCAGTTCAGACGAGTTCTTCTGTCACTGCCACCGGCCCTACTGTGAAATCTGCTTCCAGAGCTCCTCTGATTCCAGTGACAGTGGCTCATCAGACAGCGACCCTGACCCTGCTAGGGGGCTGGCTTCCTGGGAGAAGCTGTGGGCCCGTTCAAAGCCTATCGTGAACTTCAAAGATGACCTGAAACCCACACTGGTGTGAAAAGCAGCAGAGTGGGTCTGGATATAGAGGTCGGTTCAGGACAAGCCATACCAAGGCCTCTAGATGGAAGGCCAGTTTTGGCCTTCAGGAAACAGGTTGGTGCCCTGAATTGATCAAGCTCTTCCCATGTTTCAGCTGTGCTTTACTCGAGCTCTGTGTGTACTCGAGCACTGTGCTACCTTGAGCTCTCCTCCATCTATCAGAAGAGGGGTATTGCCTGTCTTGTTACTACCTCACAGCATTCCTATAAAAGACTCTGGTTGAGTGACCATAAAAAATAACTTTTAGATAAAAGGTGCTAAATGAGCACAGAGGGTTTTCTGTCCTGGTCAGTCTGTATTCTACAAAACTGTTAATATATACCACATGGATAACTATGCAGACATACAGATGGAGAGATGAAAGTTTCTGCAGAACCAGAGTTGTAGACTATGACCCATCAGACTGGCATTCTGGTGGACAGACCTGCTAAGAAGATAAGTCTCTTACATTCTTGGGTGCCCCACTCTTGGCAGGGGGTGGTTGTATTTCTGCTGAAGTTTGTGAACACCACCCCTCATTTCCAGCTTCCAGCCAGTCTCGGCTCAGGGTCACCTGTACACCACTGTTTGGTGCACATGTCTTTCCGCCATTACGGCATCTCACCAGCATCCCTGAGATTGTCAGGTCTCCATGTGCCCATAGGCTCCCCAGGTCTCTCTCTTGAGCTCAGATGACACCAGAGGCCCAGACTGTCTCCTGGTCCTTGTGGCCCAACCCTTTGACTCTTCCAGTGGTACAGTTTTATACTGGGCGGGGGGGGTGGGCATGGGAGAAGCACACAGTGACAATTTCTGATGGGGTAGGAGAGGCCCTGAGGTGGTTTGTCAAGAGGTGGTTTTTGTGCCGTTGGGATTACGTGATCTCCGACGGCTACATAAACCTGGAAATAGAAAATGGGGAAATATAAAGGAAGAAATGGGGGAGAAGGCAGGAAAAGAGAATAGGTTTTGAATATTGAACCCGAGTCTAGCATGGTACTTGGCAATATAAAATTTCAGTAATTCCTTATGATAACCCTGTGAAGGTAGGCACTCTTGTTCCCATTTCATGGATGGGGAATTTGAGGCTTAGAGAACTGAGGTAACTTCCCCAGACATCACACTGATAGGGAGTGGCCCACGTAGGACTTGCCCACAGTTCATGGGACTCCCAAGTTGGTAGATTTCCCTGGGGGCACGTCTCTTCACTCATTCCCTTGGGTGTGACCAGAGTAGAGCAAGGTAGTGTAGGAAGGCCGTGAGGTGCTCACCCTGCAGTTGCAGGTAAAAGACCTGGGTTCCTGGCCTCAGGCAGCAGCCCCCCACTGCCTCACTGCCCCAAGCACCCGTCCACACCTCCCAAGGGAGCCAGGGAATTGGTGAAGAGCGAGGTCTGGGAACGTAACCACCGCCAGTGCCACGGGGAAAGCACAACTGGGTCCACTTTGCTTTAAGCAATTGTTGTTTACAGGCCGGCCCCCGCCCCCACTCCCTGTGTGTTCATCTTTGCATATACATGTTTGTGTGCAGGAGTTTGGGCCTCATTAGATATGCTTGCAGGGGGGCGATTGGCTCCAAACATCTCACAGAAGATTGATCCTGAACCCTCAGGGCTGCCGACACTAGGTGAATCTCCAGACACTGGACTGGGAAACCCTCCTGGTAGCAAGGGTTCCTCTACTGTTTACTTTTAAATGCAAATGTCGTAATTTATTCTGTGTGTGGGTTTGTAGTTTCCACTTGTGCTGTTTGTATGCTGTCCAACTAACACCTTAATAAACCAGAAATGGCTCCCAAAGCAAGTCTCTTTAGAAATTGCAGTCTTGTACGGTAGAGGAGAAAAACAAAGAAGACTGAATCACCCAGGGAGCGGACACGAGGCAGCCGTCAGAGTTGCCTTTGGCTTGCCCTGGCTTCCAAGTATATCCTCTACCAAACTTGCATTTGTAACAGATTGTTCCATGGTCTCCCTGTGCAGCTTCCTATCCCAGAAACACTTGCCCCAGTGGATAGAGGAAACTCTGGACTCTGGAGACCCTCCACTCTTCCCACCCATGGCAGGGGGTCCTGTAGTTGGGCTTTACCTCCTTCCGTTTCTTTCCTACTAGTATGTCACCTCTAGCAGCTTCCCATTCATTAATGTAGACTATGCAGGCTTTAAATCTGGCACTCCTTCTAGCTTCTTCCTCTCTCTCTGCAACTATATCTTCAGTCCCACCATCTCGGCACATCTCCATCCCTCCTCTACCTAGAACTTCTTTCTCCACTTTGTGCACCTTGTGAATTACTCATCCTTCAAGACTCAGAGTCTGAACACCCCCAAATAAAATGGACTGATCCTCTAGTTAAATACAGAAGGATATCTTGGGGTCCATGTTTTGAACTCAGTTATATAGAGGCTTCTATTATCCATTTTACCTAGAATGACTTTGTAATCTTTGATAGACTTGATTGAAGAGATGGAGAATCTACCCTGAATTTTCCTTGGTTATCATTTGATTCAAAAACTATGTGCCATGGGGCATCTGGGTGGCTCAGTTGGTTAAACATCTGACTCTTGGTTTTGGCTCAGGTCATGGTTTCGTGGGTTGTGGGATCAAGCCCCAAGTTGGGGGGGGTGCGAGCTCAGCAGGGAATCTGCTTGAAGATTCTCTCCCTCTCCCTCTGCTCCTCCCCACCCCATCATGCTCACTCAAGTTCTCTCTCTCTCTCTCTCTCTCAAATAAATAAATCTTAAAAAAAAAAACCACTATGTGCCAGATATCATGACCACCTGCCTCAAATACTGTCTCCAAATCTATTGTTTACTTGGTGTACTCACTCCCACTCTTCACCAGCTCCTTTCCTAGATCTTTTATCCCAAACCAGCTAATCCAGTGATGAAATTCTTAAAGGGATGAATGTGTCATGACTTTTGGATGCTCTTGACTGTTAGGCTCTTGGAGAAAGGGCAGTAACTTGTACAAAGGAATCCTGCCGAAGGAAACATTGCATCTACTACTGTGCTCTGGGTTATGTATGTCTCTCTTAGTTTTAAGGTCTGGCATGGAGCCAGGCCTGATTCTGACCCAAGCATATCTTGTCCTGCTGATTAAAATCTTGGGGTTGAAATTGCCCATCCTGATCCCAAAGTCCATTTCTTTCTCCTGGCCTGTGACGAACTCTTTCCTTAAAGGATCAACTTGGCCTTCCTGGAGCTCATAGCAGAGAAAAAAGCATCAGAATGTAGGAGGCTTGTTTTTAAAGAACCATATCACTTCTAAAATGGTAAGGAGAAAAGTCAATGCAAGTTCCACAAAATCTCTTCTATATCTGTATTTATTTTTATTATATTTAGATGTGTCTCTTGCACAGATTGCAAGTTCCTAAAAGCACTGAGTTTGTCTTCTGCATCTTTGTGTCTTCCAGAGTAGCCATCAGAGAGCTTTGCACAAAGTACAAGCACAATAAATGTTTGATGGATGGATTTCTGGACAGATAAAATGGATGAAACAAAGGAAGACAGAGAACCAGTTCTGGGGCTAGCAGAGCAGCAGAAAGGGAGGCAGAACCATCTGGTTTCACTGCTTTCCAGTGAATTAAAAGCAAGAAACAATATCACCCAAAGACCCAGAAATAACTGAATTCTGAAAATGACAGTACTTTAAGACTCTTAGGGAAAAGGGGGATAGAATGATAGAGTTAATGGAAGAGAAGCAAGAAAGTTACTGTGATTAAGTTCTTCTCTTAAAGATGCTTTCTTCACAGGCTTGTCACTGAGTAACAAGCAGCATTAGTAGGAGGATGGTCTGTTCATCTTTCTCACCATCAGCTTCCTTAGTCTCCGTTCTCAGAGCCCCAAACAGAGAACTTACTCTGTACCCTCTGGCTGCTACACTTAACCCAGGAACACCATCTGGGCTTTGTCAAGGGAGGTCTAGTGCAGAGACGGCATTTGGGGGCTGAAAGCAAGGAGAGAGGTTACTCTTTGTACTCAGACTTGGCTCTTCCTCACTTCTGGTACCTACTGTGATCTCTTTCTCCCTGAAATGTTCATCATCTTAGCAATCCCAGCCACACTGCATTTGGATAAGGGAGCATCTTGGGATGTTCGATGCACTATTGAGGTCACAAAGAGGCAGGAAATAGACAGAATAATCAGTTATGAGCTTGACAAGATCTGGGTCAGTGTTTCCCAGCCCTTTTCATTCTTTGACTTACCTTTGGATGTCTAAATATACTAAAAAGACAGGCTCAGAGAATAAATGCTTGGGAGAGGCCCTGGCAAGTTTTGCAGGTAACTAAGAGAAAAGCCAAAGGATAGGAAAAAGGAAGGGAAGGAAGACAAGAAATTCAAAGAACAGAGAGAGACAGGGAGATGTAGTGAAGGAGGGAGGAAGACAAAGAACAAAAGGCATCCTGCTTAGCTTTGTCAGTGGACAGACTGTGGCAATTGCCTCTCTTGTAAATGCATGTGCTGGCTCCAGTTCTGAGTTAGAGAAAATGAGGCTCACTTCTGTGAAGAAAGGCAGGGATACCCTTGGAGAGCCCTTTCTTCTGTATGCATGCGACCATCGGTTCATTTCACGACTTTCCCCACGAGACTGTGAGCTTCTTGAGCCTACAACTTGTTTGTAATTATCTTGGTGTCCCCAGCACCTAGCACTGTGCCCAGTGTATGGCTGATGCTCAACAGATGTTTGTCAAAAGGAATAAATCAAGAAAAGAGCAGCCTAGCCAGAGCGGTCTTAAGGGGGAGCCCAGGGAAGCCACTCACAAGAGCTGAGGTCAGCTGGGAAGCAAGGCTCAGGTACCTCACCACGGATGACAGTGTTGTTGATTCACCTGAGTTTAAATCCCTTGTTATAACACCCGAAAGCTGTGTCAAAAGAAGGCATTTTAGATGAGCTCTCTTCTCCACTAATTTCGGTACAATAGTTTTCCCTACGGCAATGCCCGGACTTAAAGTCGCCCGGGTGTCTCTGTGACTTTCAGCAAGTT